GTGGCGGAGATGCGGTCGTGAGGGCCACAGCCGGAGCCGAGCTGCACCGTAGTCCGAAGCAATGTTCGGTTGGGACACACCGGAAGGCGAAGAACCTGAGGAAGCCACTTGGAGCGACTTTAGTGGCCTGTACCGCGAATACTTCAAGCTTGTGACCGTCAGCGAATACGACCACGAGGAACGGCCTGTGTGTTACGCGTGTGTCCCAAGCGAAGCGTGTGTGGAAGTAGAGGACTGCGTCGATTTAGAATTCGTCCCCATCACATTCTTGTCGTGCTATTACGTCCACTCGTACAAAGGTATATATGAGGAGGTGCGCAGCGCGCTGGGTGGAAGGCGCGGCGCGGCGCGGCGCGGCGCGGCGCGGTGCGGGCGGAGGCACTGCGGGCCCCGGCGCACTGTGCCTGCCACACCGTCCCGTCATTTCGCCAACGGCTCTCCTTCCACCCACCTGCTTTTAGTAATTTTCTTTGCTTAGTATGCCATGCCGAACTTCAAATGCTTCTACTTTCACTATCTAAATAATTTTGATAGTAGCTTTTTTAACAGCCTTGAGTGCAACGGCTTTAGAAGAGCAAAGAACTTCGTTCATTGAACTCTGCCCACAACTTACGTCTAAGTGTAAGCCCTATGCGTAAGACACATTTTCGTGTGAATGATAATATTTTGAAAAGTACGAGTATCGGCCCTTTATTCTGTTTAATCACTACACCTCACACGCTTTTCTATTTGATAGAGCCTGAAGACCTGAGGCCCGAGACCGGGCAAAATTTAGAAGGGACGCACAACGTATGGCTATGCTCGTCACCACTAACCTACGCAGATTTTTTTAGAAATCGTAAATCGGTAGATATATGGCTTGCAGTCATGGACGGCGACCGCGAAAATCATATTTTTTTTCTTTCTTATTTCTGGGCAACGATGTTAAACCTTTCTGAAACGACTTCACTGATCTTGAACAGATATTCAGCGTCAGCAAACTGCTGTTTTGTTTTAAAATAAACTGATGTATAATTCACGATTTAGCATTTTGGCTCTCGCTCCAGAATGCGTATCAAACTCATATTTCCACAATTTACTGCGCGTATTGAAGGAATATATTAAATATCAGACTTCCTCCTTTTGATCCGGTTGATTTTCTGACTGATATATTTGGTTGCGGATTAATATTCTTTTGGCTCAATTATTTACGTGCCTTCCATGAACTTGCTTTTTGCAAACGAATAATTATGCCACCACTCATAGGTTTTCCATTAGTTGCGTTTTTTTACTTTCGTTAAGAGTAGAATAGAAAGTCGAGAATATTGAAGTGATGTTTAATTGATGACTTTCACTGAATTTTCAGAATTTTCACATCTATATAAAATGTACCCTAATTGTAATTAGCCATGTTTTAATATTATTATTTTTATTCTCAGTTCTCTTTCAATTTTCTTCTGAATCAAAAATTGAATTTCCCGAATAAAGATTTCGTGTAAAAATGGTCCCGTATTTTCCAGGCAATCTCTACAGCTCTTGAAATGATTAATACGTTATTTACAAAACGTTCAAAGTAGAGAAGTGTCTTGGAGACTAGTTCTCCAATATTTAGATCGCAGAGTTTTCATTAGTAGACTATTGAATGTTTTAATTCCTAACTTCGTACATTTTCTTGAGTTTTCGTTTTGCTGGATACGAGAAGAATGAGAGTTATTTCGTCCGCACTACCCTAAAATCAAATCTCTAGCTCGTTTGTAGACAAAAATTTCCTTCTCCTCACATAATGATTCTTGCTACGATTTATTTACAATTCAACTATGTGTAGAAAAAGAGATGGGATAGGAATTCCAGACTCTAGGAAACGTGAACGTATATACACATACAAGAGCAGGTTCAGAAGGTATTTCGGCAGGGGGGGGGGCACTCCATTTCAGATTCCTCACCCATAAATTCGTCAGAGTAATTTGACTTTTTTAGAATGTGAATGTCTTCTTTTTATATCGCCCTCAGCTTTAATGGAATTACTCCTTCGTAGTGTGCTGTGATCAATTCGTGGTAATGGTTTTAAATAAATTGAGAAAAACTACAAAACCATGTTTGGTTGTGGGGAGAGAGGGTTCTATCCGTTACTATACACGTATCTATAACATCGATACTACATTGGAATATAGCAATTTATCCTGGAATTGCATCTAAACTAACGCGTAAACGGCAAATGTATTTCCAAAATAATGAAGAAAGAATGACTTATAATTACAGATCTTTAACTTTTCCTGCTTGCCTTACTATTCTAATGTTATAATTCTTGTAATGTGTTTGTTTTATGCATACCGTTTGGGTTCTCTCTCATTCATTGCAATGTGATGAAAGTGTTCAGTAAGTTGTGAACGGGATGCCAGTCTTGCACAAAGCTTTGTTTTGAGTATTTTATTGAGAAATGCCTCCCATACGTTGAGCGCGGATTTACATGACACGATAATTTGCCATTCCAAAGTATTCGTATGGCAACTTTTGATTTTGTTGAAACGAATTGCGGAAGTGAATTGAATTTGTCCACGATATTTTTCTTTACTATTCACAAGTGATCGCCAGATCGAAATAATATTGAAACGTCCATGCATTAAATGTTTCCTTTTAAAAAGTGTTTAAAATTCGCGGCACGCAAAGACGATATTCTCTGGAAAATCTCAAAGGAAAAATTGCTCTCAGAGTGAAAAAGAGTAATTTTGATCCTGTTTCTGTTCGTTCTTGCCTTTTTACGGCGAACAAGCCGATACATATCATTTTGCAGCATCTTCCTAAGGGAATCGGAGGAACTCGTCGAGAAGAAACAGTTCGGTCTCATTCCTTCACGCCATGACGTGCTCGATCCTCTGTAACCTCGCCGACATTTTAAATTTCCGGACGTAGGAAAGGCCGGCGTGGCTTCTCGAGGCTGGAGGTCTTCCGTGTGGAGTTTCCAGATGTTGGGTCGTCCAAGTAATCTTACACCGCCCGGGACGCGCTGCGACCGTATGTGGCCGTAAGCGCCCGGGCACTGTGCCCCACGCCTCGCGCCCCGCGCCCCCGCGCAGCCCTGCGCCTAAGCGCCCCCGCGCCCCTCGCCGCCGGCGCACGGGATTCTTCGGCGGTTGCCGTCGCCACTGTCACCTCGCCGTCGGCGCCGTCGTCCTCCCCGTCGCAGGCGCCGCCTTAGCGAAGGTTCCTCCCGACGACCTGGCCTCGGCGCGTATCGAATTTCTATTGCGGAAAGGGTGATCAGGAAGTGGCGTAGAAAACTAGACAATTCGCATTCTAGACTGTAGGCAATGAAGTAATTAATGTAAATGTTGTAATTGTACAAACCATTTACAAGGATATTCTGTTTAATATTTTGGAGCGTATGTGTTGATTAGGTATCAGTTTTTTGCTTGACAATTCTTTCTAAATGCATTCAATAACAGGCTAATTTAGTTCTGTGATACTCATCCTGTCTAGTTCTTCGTTTATTGTGGCTTTTATAAGGTTTCAGGTTGAATGATGGAAAAAACTTCAGTATATTGTGATATGGCTTCATGATTGAGTACTTAAAGAGTAGTCAATGTGCTTTGAATCCTGAAGTCTTTCCTAATATTACAAATGTTATGTAAAGTAGAAAATATATTCATTACTCAGAAAAATAGTGTGTGTTCTTTGTAGGAAATAGTTTTATTTGAAATAGTTGTGTACCAAAATATTTTGAGTAAATTACTGAGTGAAGGTACTAACAAGTGATCTTAAAGAAATATAAAAACATCCCTGTTTTAATTGAAATGTTTCCATGATATTGAATATATTTTAATTTTTTTTTCTTAAGAATTCAATTTGTAATATTTTTCTACTGAAACTTCATAATTTGCCCTAGACAGTATATTCTAATATCTCACTTAAATGATTTGTAATTATTATCAAATAATATTTTGATACCCAATAATTAATTTCATTAAAAAAGTTATTTTGTGTCTTCACTTTCATAATTCAATATATCCCTTCTTAAAATTGGCCACTTGTTTAATATTCACATTTGTTCTGAAGGGATAAAATAGTATTAAATTACTTATCCTGTCATTCCAGAGAATTACTGAAGATGTAATTGATGTTTTCATGAAACATATAATATGGCTTCTTACTCAACTTTCTGTTCTAGTTTGAACACTTGAAATGTTATTGATAGAAAAATTTTACCAAAACTTCCTATACCCATAGAAACTCGTAGAAAACTCTCCCCCTCAACGTCTAAAAAATGTAGAGCATTGAGCATTAAAATGTAGTGTATAAGTATTATTGAAATCTTGTTACCGATTTCAGCAGTTTTATTTGCAAATATAACTCTAGTCTAGATATATTTTGTAATTTTATTTAGTAACTAAAGAAAATTACTTTTCTTTAGTTTTGATATACCACATCACTTCATATTATTATGTTTAAATATTATTTCTCATTTCATGTAATTTATTCATAAAATGTGAACTTTCAGCGGAAGTAAAAATGCCGAGTGGAAATGTTGACAAGCCCATTATTGAAGACAATAGAGATGGAACTGTGAGCATCAAATATGATCCAAGAGAGGAAGGACTTCATGAACTCTATGTCAAATACAATGGAGAACATGTGCAAGGTAAAAATAATTTGTATTTGTAAATCTGTAATGCAAACATTTAAAAATTGAAACTAATTTGAAACAAAAATTGAAACCTTTATCTTCAAACTTTAGATTTCTTGTAAGGAATTTGCTTATTTTAGGTATTCTTATACTTCCTCTATTTTAATAGTGTCTACATTACTTTTTGATTTAAGATATCATTCGATTACATTCCATTCTTCATTTCACTTCAAAAATTATTTTCTCTCAATTCTACTTTTTTTCAAGTTATGTACATTTGCTCCTTGACATCTAATGCTATACATTTCTAATTCACTTATCAATATTTTCTTTTATGAATATTAATAATTAATGTATTGTTAAATATAAAATTAAAAGTTGCATGCATTATTCAGCAATGGAAAAAGTATATCCTCCTAGGTTCCTTTGTATAATTTATCATTATTTGTGATGATGTATGCATTAATTATCAAAAATGGACTAACATTCAGGTGATGCAGGTTATATTTCATGACCTTTAGAGTTCGTATTAGAACAAAAGATTAATGTGGATTTAGGTGTTAAAACAAACATTTGTGGATTTTTGTTTTAAAGATAATAATGCTGTACATTCAAATTTTTCTTCTGATAATTATTCCATTGAAATGAGCCTAGATATTTTCTTCATGAACTGGCACTTGAGTTTTCTAGCGATATCGTACACAGTTAGATTAAATGATTTGCCAGATTCTATATTTATATCAGAAGCAATGTTTCATCTAAGACATTTAAGGATTATAAATTTATATTTTTCAATATTTAAAAGGAAAAAGTATTTCGTAGGATTGTAAAATTCTTTTTTAGATAGAGAGAAGAGAATGCCCTATTGTGCAAGTAGTATTTTTCCTTCAGCACAGATTTGTCTCTCTGACACAAGACAAAACAGATAAATTTTTTAGCGTTGTTGAAATTAAATTTGAATACACACACTCATATGTGCATATGGGCACATGTGCCTGCACACACACATACACACACATACACACACACATGCCTGCACGTGCACACGTGTGTGTGTGTGTGTGTGTGCAGGCACACATGCACGCACACACGCACACACACACACACACAACTAAATTACATATTATCATTATCTCAGTTTTAAATTATATTGCATTCATGATTGATTTATTTACAAGTAATGTTTCTCATTCTTTAATTCAGTTTTAGAATGCATTTGACTGAGAGAGAAGTTTGGAGTCTGAGGCAAGTGCATTCTTTGTTTAGGGGATTGGCAGACAACTGAATGAATTAACTGAGAGCTCATTTGTTTGCATTTATCATTAGTGTGGTTGGTCAGTTCCACTGTTACTCTGCAAAGCAAATAATAAGATTGTTCAGAAAATGCAGTTATAATATATTGTGCATAGTTTCTGAGGTACATTATCATTCTGAGACTTTTTATGCAAAATTTGCACATTATGAACCAATTGTCATCACTATAAAAGCAATTTCAATTTTGTAATGAAAGGAGACATACTTTTTGGACTTTGTTCACAGAGAAATGACAGTGTAACCTTCATATTTCATACTTCATGCTTCATGATTCATAGTTGGCTTGTTTCGGAACGCAAGTGCTGCTTCTCCAGGCAAATAAATTATCTGCTTTGCTGAGTAATATTTGATATCACATCAATGTGTAGAGAAAACACAGTACATCAAAACATTAAAATTATCCACATCATTGTTCCTGAATAATTGCTTGAGGACTTTCTTGTTCCTTCTAATATTCTGGTTCCATATTAAGATAGTTATATCCCATTATTAAAATTATTGTTACTTTTATTATTTTACATTTAATTCAGTTTATTTTGCATACTACAAACATAAATTTTCGGGAACTGTGCCTATCAGAATTAAACTTTTACAGTAGTGCTTCCTTATGTATATGTTTTCCTTTATTTGAACCAAAGAATGCAAGAATGATATTGTACATGACACGTACAACACATTGTGTTATGAAGCTTATAAAAGTATGTGTATTAATTCTCCCTTCAAACATTAGTATAGCATCATTTATATGAAGAATATTAATTTCTTTGATCTTTTTTGATAACTGTCAATAAAGGTGCTGAGAATTAGCCAGTTATAGTAGCAGGTTAAGTTAGGGTGAGCTGCAAGGTTCTCTCCCATTCTGTATTTTACAGTTTATTCTTTAGTGTCAAATTCTGTTATATTTTGTATGGTTTTTCCACCTCCTCATCCTTCTATATTGTTCAAATATTAATGTCTCTCAGAGATCTGATTAGTTGTTTTTATGATCATAATGGTGGGACTTTGCAAAATTAACTTGATTTTTAATGTCTATGATCTTCTTTACTATGATATCATCTTTACTTTTGTAAGTTCTGCTGAACTGAGGAGACACATCTTTACCACTTGTCATAACTATATTTATGAAATATTTTAAAATATTTGTATTGGATTAATGTTCTATAATGTGGACACATAATAATATATTATGCCATTGAAAAGATCTGTTTGAAATTACATGCCCAATTTCAAAATTTATTGAACTTCTAAACAATATTTTCTGCTTCATTTAGCAGTCAAATGATTCAAATTTTGTCTCTCCATACTGGTATATATCACTTTTTCTGATTTCTTCATTAGAAGGAAGGTTAAAGAATCCATGCGGATAGACTATTCTCAGCATTCAGATGAAGTTGTAAGGACATATTTACTTTTTCTGACATTTTGTCAAATTATATTTGATCTCTTTACAGAAAACTAAGAAAATGAAAATGTAATATTACAATTCTTCTGAATGCTGAGAGATCAATACTTAATCCACTAAGTTTTTGCTGACTTTCCTTTTTTGTATATTAATTTGGATCAGTCAGTAGACACATCAACTTGCTTCATTAAAATGTCTTTGTGTTAAAGTTAATAGCCTATTGCAAATGAAAACTCACTTAGAAAAATATCCTTCTAGGGTTAATTTATTGCATTGTGCCAGACAAAATCTCACCAAATGATGATGAAAATAATTCCACAAGTTTCTATCAATTTCTTGCCTTTGGTATGAAATATCCAGCACATACAGGTTTAGCAATTAACTAAATGACTTTTTTTAAAGGTTATGAATGAGGTTATTAACTAAATTTGTTTTCCTTTCAATTGAATTTCTTTGTCGTATCTTGATATATGATAATTACATATTACTTCGAAACATGTGCAAATTATACTTCTACCCCATACATCACATACAGTATTTACTGTTCTTTGATGCAAATTAATCAAATCAAATGATCAATAATTACATTTATATCACATACAATTATTTTATTTCATATCGTATTAATGTCAGTAAAATTTTCCATTTAACAACAAAATGCATTTTTTAAATTTTATCTCTACACATTTCATTTTACTAAAAGAAGTATGGAATGACAATGATACAGAATATAATTTTAAAGAGCATTGACCTTTGAGCCTTATTCGCCTTCACATTGAGGCTGAATGAATTAATTCATATTATCACTTTCATTTTGATAATCTTGGATTAGTGCTAAAATGAATTCGTTTAACCTCATCAATATATCTAAATTAAAGCAACAATTCTTTGTAATTATTTCTTGTAGTAATGTAGAGGCATACTAACTATAGGAGTTGCTACAAGCTTGGGGAATTTTTTGTGTGATTTTGAAACACTTTGCATATGCCACTTGTCAACAGCATACATTCATTGCATTGGAGCAACTTTGTTCTCATTGAATATGCACGAACCATGCCACTGCATATGCATCAAGTATACACACAAACTCGCATACATCCATTTACACACAGCAATTGGTACTATCTGCACACACATTTTCTTGAGCTTCATTTTGCTAGAAAGAAGAAGAGTGGAGGGCTAGTTATTTTTTGTTACAAAATATCCAATATTAATCTGCAATACATGCAATAAAGTTTGGTTAAGGGTAATAAAAAATACATTACAACAGGGAATTCATAATTATTGAAGAAAATAACAAAATTATGCTAGTTTGAATTGCTGTTCATTTCATTTCTAAAATGTTCTATCACATTTAAAATGTAAAACATTTAAAGGCACTCTTTCAAGTTAAGACGTTCAATTTCAAGACAAAAGTACTATTAAATCAAATCTGTAACTTATTTACTGATGCAATTTTTTTCTATTACCCGAGAGTGAACATTTCTTGACATAAAATGTCAACAATACTCTTTGCTCTCTTTTATTCATAGTTCCATTATTATCCATTGCAAAAGAGAGTGGATAGGGATTTCAGAGCTCAAGAAAACAGGCACAGATAGAATACACTACCACCTACTTACAAATTCATCCATAAATTCCACATAAATATGTATACATACAAATTCAATTGCAAACTAATAATTTGTAGGTCAGCAGTAAGGACCCATGAGTTAAAATACAATTGTTGGTATTTTTGGTTTTATCTTAAAGGTAGTTGAGTTACAAGTGATTTTTGGATGCATAATAATTTCCTTTCTCAGAAATTTTTCATGCTTTTTGTACTTTAGGGTCTTCTAGTGTATCCTTGGGATTTAGTTAGGAAATTTTTGATATTAAATGTGTTAATTTCAAAACATTTGCCTTTATTCCTCTTGTATCTATTTAAAAACTTTCACTTATCTTGCATGATTTTACTCTTTTCTTCATTCATTACATTTTTTTTCTATGTAGCCATTACCATCATTCATTACAATTTCTCTTCTATACCATATTTTCATCTTACTTACTTGTAAATAATTTGCCATAAACAAATGCTTTTATTGAAAAACAATATTACATAATAAAAATGTGTTCTAAATTATTCTTTCTCAACTCTTACCAAAAAAATAAAAAATAAAAAAATAATGTATTCCTCTACATATTTTTTAGGTTCACCATTCAAGTTCCATGTTGATTCAACAAGCAGTGGTTATGTTACTGCATATGGACCAGGATTAACTCATGGAGTATGTGGAGAGCCATCCAACTTCACAATTTCAACGAAAGGTGCTGGTGCAGGTAAATTGAATTCATTATTTATCGTGATGTGGGTGAATTGTATTTCACCTAAGAGAATTATTTACATTTTTCTACCCCTTTGTTTATTTAGGTGGTCTGTCTTTGGCTGTAGAAGGACCCAGTAAGGCAGAGATCAGTTGTCATGATAATAAAGATGGAACAGTATCTGTGTCATATCTCCCTACAGCTCCTGGAGAATATAAAATTTCTGTGAAATTTGGAGACAAACATATTAAAGGCAGCCCTTACAATGCCAAAATAACTGGTGAGAATATTCTTTACAATATATCATTGAAATGCATATCATAAGAAGTGAATATAAAAAGTATGAGAGAACTGAAAAGAAATTCTATTGGTTTTCTTTTTCTTTCTTTTCTTACTGTTTGGTCTTTTTAGCACTCACCTTCTTATAACGTATATTTGTCATCTCTTCTAATTTCTTCTATTCATATTCCTTTTAAATTTGTTTTTATTTAATATTATATTTGGTTGTAATCAGTATTTCACTACATATTTTCAAAATTATTTTCTTACTTTTAACATTATTTTGTAAATGTTTTAGGTGAAGGAAGAAAGCGAAATCAGATTTCAGTAGGATCATGCAGTGAAGTTACATTACCTGGTAAAGTCACTGATGCTGATATAAGATCTTTAAATGCGTCTATCCAAGCACCAAGTGGTCTGGAAGAACCTTGCTTCCTAAAGAGACTGCCAAATGGAAATATTGGTAATATAATATTTTCATGGTTACCATTGTAAACTTAAATATTTTTCATAGTACTCATATAGGTCATATAGTAAAGAACAAAATGATGGACATAATACTATTACTAATTACAAATGAATTGTTTTAGGCATTTCTTTTACTCCACGTGAGGTTGGAGAGCACATTGTATCTGTTAAGCGTATAGGCAAACACATATCTAATTCACCGTTCAAGATAAATGTGGGTGAATGTGAAGTGGGTGATGCTAAGAAAGTTAAAGTGACTGGTGCAGCTTTGAAAGAAGGAAAAACTCATGTCGATAATACGTTTACTGTAGACACTCGTAATGCTGGTAAGTGTACTGTAATTTAATTTCATCTTGCATGTTTGCTTTTCCAAACTGGGAAATAAAATCTTAATAAAATAGTTATTGTAGAAATAGTTCAATGACTCTGTAAATGTAAAATCTACTTCTAGCTTACTTTTACTGTTAATTATTGTAGAAATTTGTTATGTATACATTTTGTTGAATGTGTTATATTCAAAATATAAGTCAATAACTCTATTATTAATATTATTATTCATGTTATTATTATTGTTGTTATTGTTATTATTGATGATGATGATGATGATAACATAAATATACAGTACACTCATGAGAAGATGGTGTAAAAATAATTAAAAATACAGAAAAAGAAGTGGCAATTTATAATTGTCTAAATTTGATTTCTTTCAATAATTCTTGCAATAACTCCTGGAAAGGACTTGCAAAAATAATACCTTCTTTTGTTATTTACCGAGAGGTAAAAGTAAAAACTAAAATGTAACAATGATATAACCCGCTCTAAATTACTTGAGGTTAATTACTTTCAATATTGTCATATTTATTTTGTCAAATAGAAAATTGAAATGGTTTTGTTTAAATTGAAATTGGTTCTGTTCAAATGTGCACTTTTTTTTTATTTGGCTTCAGGATATGGTGGACTCTCATTATCTATTGAAGGACCAAGCAAAGCCGAAATTCAATGTAAAGACAATGAAGATGGAACACTTAATATTTCATATAAACCAACTGAACCTGGTTACTACATTGTTAATCTTAAATTCGCTGATCACCATGTAGAAGGCTCACCTTTCACTGTTAAGGTAAGTGCTGTTTGGGATGACAGGGGTGAATCCAGAAAGTAGTTTGGGGGGGGGGGGAGGCATTTGGAGTTTGGACCTCCCCTAAATATTTTTGAAACAAAAATTATTTAAAATTGTTAGTGTGAGTATAAAATATGTACTCATAATGGCAATGTTTTTTTTTGGATACAATGAAATCAATTTGTGGTAATTGTTTTGACTAAATTCAGTAAAATTGCAGAAAATATTGGCTTTGGGGGGGTGTTGCCTCCCCCTCCCTGGAATGTGTGTGTGTGTGCGTGTGTGTGTGTGCGTGTGTGTGTGTGCGTGTGTGTGTGTGCGTGTGTGTGTGTGCGTTGTGTGTTGTGCGCGTGTGTGCGCGTGTTCGCGTTGTGTGCGTGTGGTGTGCCGTGTGTGCGCGTGTGTGCGCGTGTGTGGTGGTGTGTGCGCCGTGTGTGCGTGTGTGCGCGTGTGCGCGTGTCGCGTGTTGCGCGTGTGCGCGTGTGCGCGTGTGCGCGTGTGCGCGTGTGCGCGTGTGTGCGTGTGTGCGTGTGCGTGTGCGTGTGTCTTCAGTGGTTTGTGAAGACATAAGTTATTGATTTTGCAGGGTATGTAGTAAATAGGCAGAATGGAAAAGGCATGTATTTTTAAGTAAGAAATGTTTAAGGTATAATTTGGGAATATTTAAAAATTAGTGAAACCCACAGGAGTTTGAAATTATAGTGTATTTGAAATATACCGAATGTGCCATTAGTTTTGTATAATCTTGTAACTTGTGAAAGTTTAGTAGATCTTAATAAGGAAAGTTGCCTTGGTAGCTGCCGATTGTCTAGCTAAAATAGTACACGGTACAATTTTCATTAATGCATAACATATTAAATATCATAAGCGCAATGATAACAAACCGTAAACGTGGAATATGCCACCATGATGAAAATGAATTAAATTTTTCATTGTTCAAAAACCTGTCTTATAAAGCATGATATACATTCTTAAGTCATCTTACCTTTTATGCTGTTAAAGAATTTTATTTTCCCTTCAATGTCATATCAGTTTAATGTAATGGAAGACATAAAACAAGAAAATATATTAGTCTACCATTTATAAATTACTGATGCATCAAAAACACACTGTATTAACCCCAAATAAAATATTACTGCAATTTTTGAAGAGGCCACTTGAAAACTTATATATCCTCTGAATATACACAATAAACACAAATTATTAATACAGCTTTATACTCTTTATTAGAAACTAATGACATGCTACCCTCTAAGTGTGCTACTGCTGAATAGGGAATTACTACCCAGTTCTGTCTAAAATAAATTTAGGTCAAAATAAAAATTGAAGTTTTCAGATTATGACATATTACTGCAACACACATTACAATATTGTAAATATTGTGTAAACCAGATGTAATGAGTCCTAGGCCCTTAAAACCAGATCTTAATATCTCTAAGACACGAGTTTTGTGGGGTCAATTTTGGGGGACAGGCAGGAACTGCTGGGGTTCCAGTGATGTTTCATAAGCAATATTCTACTGAAAGGGATCTTTTGGAATCTTCTATTACAGTGATGGAGAAATTTGTTCTTCTGAGAACCCCTACTCTTTATCATGAATGGTTAGCAGTAACAAGCTGTAACTCATGTTCTATATAAAATTAAATCAAAGGAATAGACATAAATAATATTCGATGATAAAATTGACGTGATTATCTGTGAAATTTAATCCCAATGCTTAGCAATATTAGAATGGTTACTCATACACAATACTTGGTATATAGTGCTGTAACCAGTTCAGCAGTTGGTAGTTTGAAGTTAGGATCCAGGATTTTAACTTTTAAAGCAATTGAAACTCTTCTCAATGTACTCACTCCTAATCTTATTTCAACTGTAGCAACCTATTCTCCCAGGATGGATATTTAGAGTTTCTTTAATTTTCCTCCAAGAGTGAAGACTTGGTTTTCTTGAAGAACCTATTCATTATAAAATTGTTACAGATAATTTTTGAATGGTTTGTAAACATAATCATTTGAAGTTGGGATGTCAACCCTCCAGGAATTACTACTTGGTGGGTAACTCCTTAATGAGTTCCTTAACTTGTTGGGAAAAGTATTCCTTGAAAGAGTCTAGCACCAACCTTCCTCTCTGCTCCTCTCCCCTCCCTACTGTTGGTAGTTTCTCTTTCGGCATTATTTTCCTACGTTGAATCGTATGTGGGGACAGCATCCTGCTGTCGACCTGAGCACACAACAAACAGTTATTCCCACTTTTCATTGTCTATTCCTTAGATCACAACTCTTTGAGTGCCCTTAACTTCAACTGTTAGGTGATTCTTTCAAAGTTTTATTGAAATAATCTGGCATCTAATATGCTTTGCCGATTTGGCTGAGCAAGTACTCATTCCCTTTCTGTAATTTGAAGAACATGAAATTAAAACAAAATTAATTTCTCTACAAAAGCTGCAAGGAAGTCACTGAGCTAGTGGTGTTCTATGCCCGAATATGAGAGTATCTTCATCATTCTAATGCGTCAGCCCATACTCACTTTGAAATTCTCACCATCTGGAATACTTTTTTTGTTATCTGAAGCACTTTCATTTGTGCAATTTCTTGATTAATACTGAAGCCTTCATTGAGTTTCTCTCAAAGATACTCAAAACATAGTTTCTCTAACTAATAATATTACCTCTTTTTATGTCTTGTGAAAGTTTTGAATTTTAAATTGCATTTTTGTTTCAGTTTTTAAACTGACACCACCTACGATTCCTACGACACCAAATTTTCTTCCAGTTGCACTATGTTTCGTTGATTCTGCTTCTTAAACAACTGTTAACAATCAAAATTAAAATTTGCATAGTAAGGTATGCGTTATCCAGTTATGAACTGCAAACTCATAGGTCCCTGTACCTCAACAGAGTTTTGGCCACAACTACCATTCATTTTCACATTGCATTTTCATTTACAATGTGATTTGTTTGAGATTCTCTTAACCAGCCAGTTCTTATAATGAGTATGAATGTCACGTTATGAAATATTTCAAATACAAAATATCGGTATTTTTACCTTTCAAATCACGATTCTTAATTTTTATTATACTCTCGAATTTATAATTTGGTTATAATTCATTCAATGTTTCTTATTCTTTCAGGTGACTGGTGAAGGATCCAATCGTCAACGTGAAAAGATTCAACGTCAAAGAGAGGCTGTACCTATAACTGAAGTAGGTAGCGAGTGCAAATTGACATTCAAGATGCCAGGCAAGTAAAAGATACTTTGTGTATTATTTGGAATTGAAACAGTTGATATGAAAAATAATTGAATAAATACAAAATTCTCTGTAAGTAAGTTAGTGTAAGCTTTAAAAATAATATATATTATATATTTTTTTTAAAGCTTACATTCATAAGAATTTGTGTTTTTAAAATGTGCTAAAATTGCTATTCATTTTTACTAATCAGTTTTAGTGCCTAATCAGTTTTGTGCCCACACAAAACTATATTTGACTTCATTGTATTGTTTTCATAGAATTTTATGAAAAAAAAAAAAATTGTTAATCACGAAAAATATTGTAATCAAGAAAATTGTCATCAAGAAAAATCACACGCACAAACAATTCTTTAAATATTGCACCAAACTTTTTGTAGATTATTATTTAAATTTTATTCAAAATAAACATTTGAAATAAATGCTAGTTTTTGTTTAATAAATGCTTGGCTCAAGTTTTAATGAGTATAGTAATATTAGGAAAGACAAGACCTTCAACATCCAAATTATTTATTAGATATAGGTTTCCCTTTTCCTAGAACTAAAGAGCACATCATAATTAAAACCTTCATTTAGCAAACTTTGGAGATAATTTTTGATGAAAATGCCCAGTAAAAAGTGTTCAGCACTATAATTAGTGTTGGGATTTGCCTATGAATGGTATTGTTACATATAATGTGGATGCGCTAATATAAAAAGATTTTTTTTAACATCATCAAGAAAGGTAGGGTAAAGGTTCCACAACATTCATTTCATTTAATTTCAAAAAACCACTTTGGTATTTTGATATTTTTTCACTGTGATAATTCATCTCCAAATAAATAAATCAAGATTTTATCAAACATGAAAAGCAGCAACATTTAATCCTTGTAAGATTCAGCTGATTATTTTACATTGACTGTGCAATATGCTATTGATGCAAATTTTTTTGTGTGTATTGCATTCGAAGCTTACAAAAAAAATTATAAATAGGTGTAAAGATCATTGCATTAATGAAAAAATTTAAGTGAAAAGAGATTGAAACCAAAATTCTTTTAAATTGAATATTGCAGCATTATTAGAGGTGTAGGTAGATCATCCTAAGTGGTTTTCTGTTTATGTCAATTCACATTTGCTCCAATTACTTTCAGTACAATCAATCTGGTTTCTTATGATTAACTATATCATTTGCAAAATGATTTTATCTTCATATTTAATGGTATATTATTCAACCTTCATTAAATTTTATTAAAGACTGGTTTAAAAAGAGCATATTTTGATATAAAAAAAAATTATATAATAAAAATAATAATTATTATATAATTATAAATATCATAATTGACTCTTTTGAGTAAAAACTAATGTTCATTGGTGCAAAAATATTGTCATCATATCTTGAGTTATGATCTTTTAAATTCAGTATAAATGAAAATAGAATATGTGTAGAATTTCTCAGATCCCGGAATCTTGTTAATATATTTCTCGTTCAGCTGCTCCAAATTTTCACATTTCACCATATTTTCTGCAGGTATCACATCCTTTGATTTGGCTGCTACTGTCACATCACCAGGTGGTGTAACTGAAGATGCAGAGATTAATGAAGTGGAGGATGGTTTATATGCTGTTCACTTTGTTCCAAAAGAACTTGGTGTTCATACTGTTTCTGTGAAATACAAGGAGATGCATATTCCAGGTAAATGTTTAGTACTTGTGATTCAAATAAGATAGTGAAACGTGTATTAAATGGCCATTATTGGTGTTGGAATAGTGATCTCTTAGAGGGTCATTACTGAATTGGGGGACCTTTTTCCCCTTCTAATGATCTATTACTAGACATTGGATGTTCAGGAAACTGTCATAATAGATTAAGACATGTTCACTAGAGTGAACATATTTAAAGGCTTTTGTGTGTTTGAATAATGAAAAATGAAACATTTGGATCAAGTTCTATTTTGCGTTTTTTGACATTAAAGCCTTTTCAGACATATTCATTATCTTTTTAAATGTGTTTCAAATGTATTTCTATCCCCTCCTTCATTTAGTTAAAAATAAATATTAACTCAGTTTTCAATTTTAGTATTCCCAGCAGATGTTGACAGGAAATGAACCTCCATTTTCTTGCATATGCTGCATTCATTTGGATGTGCATGACAACTTCTATATCCTAAGAGCCCCAAAACTCGTTTTTCTCACACTTTTTCACAATTAAAAATAAAAATAAAAATTAAACAAAATCAAGCGGTGTAGCAAATATTTAGGAGCAAAATTAATATTGTACGATTAATGAATTTTGTACAGTCTAGCATCTATTAAATTCAGTTTAGGTACAACATAAAATGTATTGTACTTGTAAATATCTTCTCCTAGAGAACTCTTTTCCCTTTATTGTATCAACAAAATGTCTGCAGAACAATACTTCATCTTATTTTGTTCTACTTGTAGGTGATGATTGCCACATGAAAGAGGTATTGTATATAATATTCCTTATTGTTTTTGTGCAGCACATGGTTGAATGTTTTTGGATTTGAAGTTGCACATTAAACACACAAAGAGGAATATCAAAAGTACAACTTGTTACGCTTCAGTCACTCGTCAAGCTTTTATTTCTTGCACAACATGCCTTCAAAATTAAATAAATTTAACATTTAAATATCCAATATATAAATAATATAGTATTTTACAAAAGTAGATTTCCTTTTAATTTCATTCTTTCTTCTTTTGCTATACTGTGTAATTCAGTGGACATTCTTTACTTCCAGTTGAAGTGCTTTTATTTATGAACTTCTTGCCTAATAAAATATCTTGTAGCTTGTTTACTTTATATACTTTGGTACCTCGTTCTCCCACAATTTTTCTCTTATACTTTGCTGTAACTTCTTTCTTTCAGCTCTCTGTCACTCCTTTTTAGAATAGGCTTAAGCATTCATGCAGAATGTATTAAGTTGTATATTCATTCAGCATAGATGCCCACAACAGTAAAGAATTATCTCATCAGCATCATATTCTTTCACTAACTTCCTCAGATTAAAATTTATGACTAGTCAAAATCAAAATTGAAAAATATTATTAAAAATAAGTCTCTTATAAAATTCTTAAGAGCCAAATTACTTTAGCTGAATTCGTATTTACATCAAGCAAAGAAAACCTGATTTATTTAAATAATGTATACCATGTTTAATAATTAACCAATGTTCAATAAGTATGAAATGGGGTTTGGTTTATTTTATACTGTGAAAGGTGTCAATTTTACTTAGTCCACCAATAATAGTGAATGATTAAAGTTAAATATATGAATGGTATGACAGAAAAGAGAGGAAAGAAATTTTTGAAGTCTGAAAATTATATTTAAGCAAACTTTCTTAACACAAGAAATTGTAAAGTTCTTTGCAAAATTTATATGATATTTGGAATGTTTAAGAAACTTAATTGCTAATGTGCTTGATTTTATGAGTGAATTTACATTTCAAAATCTTAACATATTTCTTCTAGTTTCAAGAGAAAGTAAATTAAATTGTGGGACATTTTAAATCTAATTTTCTGTGTTTAAACTTTTCTGTCAGGAACATTTGAATATTTTTGAAAAGACTGCATCTTAATATTAACTGCAACAACAATCGAATGAATAATTTATTTAAAGGTCATCAAATTATTCTTATATAACAGAAAACTTTATTTCAAAATGTATTTACATGTGAATAGAAATTAATTAATTAATTAATTATTATTATGTTCCACCAAGTTATCTACTAGCTTTATTTTGATTCCAGGATCACCCTTCCAATTTACTGTTGGCCCTCTTAAAGATGGTGGTGCCCATAGAGTTCATGCAGGTGGTCCAGGATTAGAACGTGGTGAGCAGGGCCAGCCATGTGAATTTAATGTCTGGACACGTGAGGCTGGTGCAGGTTCCCTTGCCATTTCAGTGGAAGGTCCTAGCAAAGCAGAAATTGATTTTAAAGACAGGAGAGATGGGTCATGTTATGTGAGCTATGTCGTTTCTGAACCAGGTGGGTGTTTTTTTTTACTTGTATTCAACACTTTTACTCTTCAAGTCATAGCAAATTTATTTTAACATGCACTTTGTACCAACAACCAGTTCTGTATGTCAGATTTGTACAAATTACATCAAAGAGAGGTTTGCCTAGGAAGAATCACAAAAATGTTGAATTATTTTTATTAGATGTAACATCAATGTAAATGAAAATTACACTAATACGGAATTTTCATGGAAAATTTTAACTTATTTTTTTATAAACCTATTGCTTTTTACACGTTTCTTATTGTACTGGGAAATGTGATCTAATTAAAAGATTAACTTTCTCAGAAACACCTTAATAAGACCTAAGGTTATGTTAATTTTTGGTACAATGATAACGTACATTTCTTCAACGAATTGTCTTGTGATCTCTTAATTATCTAATATTTCTTCTAAAAAATAATAAATAATAGTTCTTAAAATTGAAAATATTGTGAGCTTTACTCCTATGTTTTGAAAAAACATAAATAATGCTGAAACTATAGTTATTTCTTAATGTTTATTAATAACTTCTGCATTATTTTCCGTTTGAATCTTCATATATGATGTAAAAGATATTTTGATAATTTTCCCTTTAGAATTACTATTATGTAAATAATAGTGCAGGGATGTGTATGAACTTTGGTGAATGAGATTTTATTATACTTTTGTGTATTTGCAAGCCTCCCTGAATCAAATGGTGAATGTGAAACACACACACTTTGTGTCTTCATTTTAGAATATTATATATTCACATAATATAACATAATAAATTCGTTATTGGCATTTTTTGCTTGAGTCACGCTTTCCACATAAATATGAAATAAGCAAGAATGTGAAATTGAAATCATTTGTGTGATGTTTACATGAAAGATAATGTCAAGAAGCTCGCCTACCATTATTTTTATATCAATTTGTTAATTTAAGTCTTGCAAATTTTTCGACATTTTCATGCAACCATCTTTTTTCAGTGATAGCATTACGAAATATCTTAATTTTTATATTGCGTTCAATTCCTGAGTTATTATTTTACATTGCAGAATATGTGAATCATTCTCCAAATACTATAAAAGTGATAAAGAAATCATTTTAGAAAAGACTTGTCTAGATCAGTTCCTAATCTGTGTACTTAGATGCTCAATTTATTTTATGAAGGAAGAAACTCCCAATTTGATAGCAAAAAGTTAAAAATGAAGCGTGCAATACTTTTTTGAGACTATCTTCATTGCAGTTTGGTTTCCAGCCAAGTAGTTTCACACTTTTCAACATATGCTATGTTGTCAAAAAACAGGTGGCAGTGCCAAGAATAATTCTCTGGATTCTAAATTTGCTCTGAAGAGGTAGTGGAGGGGTATGTGGACAACGTTATGGTAGGGATGAACTCTGGAAGCAGGAGTCAGTCTGGAAGTGTGCAAGTCAGCTGGTTTGCAGGCAGGCAGGCAGCACAGTACATATGCTGAGCATCAAATTGGGGATAGGCTGTAGTGACAATGGGGGAATACAACAAAAGTGAACCATTTAATACATATAAAGTGTATCAAGAGATTCAGTTGAGTAACAATAGTGAAGATGCAAAAACTAACCAGTCATCTTCAGCTTTTACACCTGGTCAAGGTACTGTAGATGGTACTTAGAGGACATACATAATTTTTCAACAAACTTAGAAGTTTAATTCATCTGTAGATTTGATTTTTGACCAGATAGTGTTTTATAAATGGAGAAATAGCATCTAACAAGTAGCAGAATACTTGTCAATGAAGTCAGTGAGCTTATTTTGTGTATGTGTAGTGAAGAATCAACATTTAACATTAATTCTGCCATTAAGTGGGAAAAAAATATGTGCTTCAAACAATGTCACATTTTCCTTTTTGATATTAATGTTTCAATAGTGAAGTGTTAAGAAAATGTTGCAAACCTTGAACTTCCAGTGAAGAACATGAAACAATCTAAAAATATCTTTTAAATGCTATAATTAGAAAATGATCTTGATGGTAAACTGTCAGAATCCAGTGCAATTTCTCATAACTATTTCTGTAGTCTTGCATAAGCACAAGCTATTTTCATCTCAAGATTTGGCACTTTTTGCCTTCTCTACCTACTTGATACACCTTCAATTCTGGCTACATCTGAGCAGTTAAAACTACTAATAATAAGTGTATCTTCATATGAAACATTTATATATCCTTATTTTTTATATAAAACAATTTTTAAAAGCATACATATTAGTACCTTAACAACTGCATCTTTGACAAAATGAACTGACAGCAATCTTCCTTTGAAGGAAAGTCATATCAAATGTTATTGTACTGGAAAATTGAATTCCTTTATTTTTATATTTGGGTGTTGATTTTTCAGGTGAATACAGAGTGGGCATTAAATTTAATGACCAGCATATTCCTGATTCACCATACAAACTCTTTATTTCTCCTGCTATGGGAGATGCTCATAAACTTGAAGTTTTCCAATTCCCATCATCTGGTGTACAAGCTGACAAGCCAACTGCTTTCCTTGTAAGGAAAAATGGTGCCAAGGGAGAATTAGATGCAAAGGTATGTGTTTTGAGTGTTAAAATTATTGAAGAAGTAAATGTTAGTAAATTATGTTTGGTGAACTAAATGCAAGTCTATTAATGTGAAATTAGAAAACTTACCATTTTGTGTAATCATGTAATATCCTAAAATGTCTTTCAGATTGTGGCTCCATCAGGTATTGAAGATGACTGCTTTATTCAAGCCATTGATGGAGAAACTTACTCAGTGAGATTTATGGCTCGAGAAAATGGTATACATAACATTCACTGCAAGTTCAATGGCGTTCACATCCCTGGTTCTCCATTCCGCATTAAAGTAGGAAAAGAAGATGCTGATCCTGCTGCTGTCCATGCATCTGGAAATGGCCTTGGAGAAATTAAGACAGGTACTGTGATTTACAACCTATCAAAACAAGACATATTTGTTTAAGTCCAACTAGAGCTTTGAATGATGGTAGGTACCAGAAAATTATATCAAAATTTCTAAGGCATGATATGTCGAATATTTTACACTAAATATTTTCTTTTCTGTTTATATTTATTTCATTAACTTTGGTGAAGTAATGCCAAGAGTTGAAATCTGTTGCTCAGCAAGGAAAAATGTACATAGTTTGTTTTAATTAATAATTTAATTTATTTATTTCAAAGAAGGTTCTGGGATAATTTGAAGCTCATAAGCTTTGCTTGGCATAAAAGAAAGTAGAAATTGTTGGTTATGTGTAATTGAAACGTGAATGTCTTTTATAAAGATATAATATTGTAAAATAATTATTATTTGATATCTTATTTAACTCTTAAATTTTGAATGCTGTTGCCTTTATGGTAATTGTTTCCAATAAATCTGCAAGGTTAGAGAAAAGTTGTTATAGTAGGATGACTTCTAATTATGAAGAATATTTAATTCTAACAGCTAATTGATAGTAGTGCCCAAGATGATGAATATTTACATACCTAATTATTTATTTTGGGCAACTGTTAACAATGGAATGTGAACATTGATATTTTTTTTATACAAATAAATGTATTACAGTGTATAAACTTTAGGGCTCCTAAAAATATGATTTAACGATCTGGTAGTGAAAAACAAATCATGGTAACCTTAATAACCAAGAATATAATAAATATCTTGTAACAAAATAAATGAACTTCAATTTAATATTCAGTTATCAAAATAAGTTTTTCCAAAGACAATGCACGGTGTTGATTTGAATTAAGAACTAGTAAGTTCTTAATTAGTTGCTTTTGATTTTGATCAGATGTCTTCTGAGCATTATTCAAGGGTCCCATCAGCTAAATTTCATAGCACAATTATATTATTTGATTTTAGTATAAATACTGAAGAGAGTTTTAACTTGATTGTCTGTCCATTGAATTATTATTATTATTATTATTATTATTATTATTATTATTATTATTATTATTATTATTATTATTATTATTATTGTTGTTGTTGTTGTTGTTGTTGTTGTTGTTGTTGTTGTTGTTGTTGTTATTGTTATTGTTATTGTTATTGTTGTTATTGTTGTTATTATTATTGTTGTTATTATTATTGTTATTATTATTACTACTACTACTACTACTACTACAGTTTTCAAGAATATTTTTATAAATGAATAAGTTTTCAATTGCTCATGAAGTAGTGTACTAAACTTCGTTACACTTTTCTGAATTGACATTTTCATCATTCATTTTTCTTTTGACTCTCAAACAAAATCACAAATATTGAGATGATAAACTAGAAAGAAGATATTTTGAAGTAATTAAAAATCAGTTTGAAACAAATAAATTATTTAATTTCTTTGTGAGATTTATCAGAACTACAAGAGCAAGATAAAAGATCTGGGGGAAAAAAGAAAAAACCTACTTTGAGTTGTTAATAAAATTATAATGGAAAATTGTACTTATCTAAATTAAATCCATGTGTTCTTTTCCACAGGTCAGAAAACAGATTTCCTTGTAGACACTTGCAATGCAGGTGCAGGAACTCTTGCAGTGACAATAGATGGTCCTTCTAAAGTCTCCATGGATTGTACTGAAGTAGAAGAAGGTTATAAAGTACGATACACACCCTTGGTACCGGGTGATTATTACATCAGCATTAAGTACAACAGTTATCATATTGTTGGGTCTCCCTTCAAAGTAACATGTTCTGGTAAGATCATTATTCTTCTTTTCTTCATGCTCTGCAGTAAAATATTTTTTTTTTACTTGTTTTTATCTTCATTTAATTTCAATCCACTTGGTTGAAGGATGAATTACTTGAAGTCACATAACTATCATAAATACCTCATATCTTGTATATTTGAATTAATAGTAGAAATTAGGAGTAATTAAAAATAATGAATGACGTGATCACAATTTGGAAGCATTCTGGACACGATACTCCAAAAGAAATCAAATGTTCCCCTGGGATCAAACTAAGGTCAACCCAGAAAAAGCTAGCATTCTAGCCTTGAACTATTAGCTAGGCACTTATTCTTAATTCTCTTTTTAAAAATAAGATACATTTTCAAAATGAAACTGGAACTTCAGAAAATAGCCTTAACTCAACAGTTTAAGTAAAATAAGTGCCAAGACTAGATAAGAAACGTAATTTGACTTTCAAGCTTGCTCATTTTTTAACACACTTTTAGAGAAAACACACCTTTTGTTTAAAATAATATTATAATTCAAAAACTGTATTTAAATTTTTTTATCATGTACATTTCAAATGTATACTTCTCAAAGGAATTAATGATATTTTTTAATCTTTGTCAGAGTTTTTTGAAGGACAACTGAAGAACTTTGAATGATATAATGATTTATGTCTCGGTTTTCTAGGTGAAGATCTTGCTGAAAGGGGTGCCCAAGAAACATCATCTGTTGTTGTTGAAACGGTACAAAAAGTTTCAAAGAGTAAGAATGTTGGTCCTGTACTTCCTTTATTCAAATCAGATGCTTCAAAAGTAACAAGTAAGGGAATGGGTTTGAAGAAAGCCTATTTACAGAAGCAAAACATGTTTACTGTTCATGCTGGTGAAGCTGGTGAGTATAGTTTCAAATAGTCATGCTGTGTTACTCAGATTAGGAAGATTTCTTTGAGGTCTTTGAATTTTATCCCCAATACTATAAAACCAAAATTTTTGCACATGTGCTATCTATAAAATTAAAAACAGAATAGTTTTGCACATATTGATATCATTGTTTCAAACATTGTGAATACCAATTAGTTCATGCACTAATGTTATAAATTGTACAAGGACCTCAATGACCTTAATAGTTAATCTTTAAAAACTGAATGCCATCTTTACATGGCAGATTTGTTTCGCCTCTATTTGTGGGGAGCCGTACCTAAATGTCGTAGGTGTTCCTCTTGTGGCGAGATTTTGTCTAGATATAGGGATATTGCCCTAGCTGTATACTAAGCTGGCTATCTGCAGCCCTGCTGATACACAAAGCCCCTTCCTTTCACCTGCATTGGAATGTTACTGAGCCCAACTCAAGCCTCATGTCAAAGGGTTAAATAGCCTCTAAACCTCCATAAATAAATAGATAAATAATTGTGGTATGCAACCATGAAAGAAGTTCATTGCGAATTGTATCTCTATAAAACAGAGAAGAAAGAACCAATGGATCTTGCCTAAAACACTTACCATGAACTGACTGTAATTTTCTTTTCATTCTGACATTTTGTCAAAGTAATATTTGACCTCTTTGACAAGATAAAATTTTTAATTGTGTGAACAGCAAATATCAATATATTTACAAATAAACCAAAAGATTTTTATCTTGTGACATTAATTTAGAAAAATCTACATATCTGGATGTCTAAATGGAAAAAAAAAGTTATGCTTCTAGGTCACAAAATTGGAAGAACTGTAAACTAAGTAAACTGCGCTTCAATTTTGTGACCAAGAAGCATAATTTTTTCCAAACAGATGTCCAGAAATTAGATTTTTCTGAATAAATGTCATAAGGTAAAAATGTTTTGGCTTATTTGGAATTATATTGATATTTGCTGTTCACACAACCAAAAATTGTATAATTTTTTCCCTTCTATTTATGTAGTTATATTTCTATTTATATAGTTATAGTCTGTGAAGAGGTCAAATGTGACTTTTACAAAATATGAGAATGAAAAGAAAATGTTTAACAGTTCATGCTCAGTGTCAAGATCCACTTGTAGACAAGATCCACTTGTCCTTTCATCTTTATTTTACAAAAACCATTGAATCAATCAGCAACTATATCAACTCGTAGTTCTATAATTTATTTCTTATAATTCGCTTATAATTTATTTCTCTTTATATACTAAAGAGATGGAAATCCAGTTTACACTGAATTTATCAATATCCAAATCTACAGTCATAATGTGCATTTCATTCTGTGATTGGTATGCAGATACCTGTAACAAATTATCATTAATTAAGAAATAATTTCTTAAAAAATGGAGAATAAAATGTATAAAATTTCCTTGTAAATTTCCATGAACATTCCATATAATTAACCAGATATAAGGGAAACTATCAGATGAAAACAAAACTTCAATGATGTGTGAGAAATCAAACGTATTTTTAATATGTAGTAATAGACACACTTACATACATATGTATTTATTACAAATTTCTTTACAAAATGCATCCAAAAATATTTGACTTGCTGGATCAATAATAATATAACTGGGGTAATGAGATATGTAAGACATTAAATTGAAGAACATGTTCCTATTATCTTTCAATACTTTATTAATATGTTTAACATTAATTTGGTGTAATTTACTTGCAGGAAATAATATTCTGTATGTTGGTGTTTATGGACCCAAGAGCCCGTGTGAAGAGGTTTTCATCAAACACATGGGGCGGAACAATTACCAAGTGAATTATGTAGTGCGTGAGCGTGGAGATTACATTGTCATTGTGAAATGGGGAGATGAGCACATACCAGGTTCTCCATTTAAAGTAGATGTGTGATTGTTGATTGTGCTGTGCCAGAGACCTTTGGTGCTCTTGAATAACTATGATTGGCTACTGATGATGTCAAAATAATTTGGTATCAGCACAAGTGTCTAAATGGTATAAATCACCGCAGAAGCTCATTTGGAAACTGAAGTCATTATGGAAATTTTACTAGCATTGAATGATGATTTGATATTTTGTAATAATTGTTTAAAAAAATTAAATTTACTGTAATTTATTTTTGGAGTCATTCTATGCAAACAACAAATCATGCTGATTCAGCATATTTCTTTAAAGTTTCCAACTGAGTTACTGTAATTGTGGCATTTTTAATTGCTTCCCTCTGATATGTGCAGAAAAATACTGTATGAATCAGGTATTATTTTTATACCAAAAATAGGCCTACCTGAAATGATGTACCCTTTCATATTCATTGGGAAGTATCAACTTGGACATATCCTTGGTATTCAGTTCTTAAAATTCTAATGACAATAAAGTTAATATTGTTTGCTAGCTTTCTTCCTTTTGTTGTTTTACAGCCATGCATATGGTTAAAGAATCTTGTCTTGTAACTCTTTTAATAGACCAGTATAGCTTATATTTTAGACAAGACCAATGTATTGCTTTCATTAAATATTTCTATGCATGCTTTTTGCTACTTATAAGTACAGTATCATGTGCCTTAATTTGTTGTAGGACATAAGAGATGGTGAAAAACTTGACGTAGTCTTAAGGAGTACAGTAGTTGCCAGATAACTCAGTGTTGTTTGGTTGTCTAGTGTAAAAATAGAAAATAAAATATTGTACATATTTCTCTTAAATTTTGTTTTATTCCCCAGTTCCCTTTCAATCTCCTAAAGTCTGGTGCTATTTCACTATAAACATTGGTTAAACAAGAACTATAAATTATAAGAAGGAAAACTTTCACCTTTATCAAGTAAAGTAGAAGAATATGTAGTTGGTATCAACACCAAGTACAACAACAACAATAACAAGCAAAAGTTGCAAAAAACATGTAGAAGACAGCAGTGAATGATTAAAAATTGAAATGTAGGTACAGCTGTTGACAAATAATATTAAACGGTGTTTAGGAAATTGTAACTGAGATCTGTCAGAAAATTGAGGAGTGGTATTTTTTAAGATCTTAATGTACTAGAGAAGAACACATGAAATTTGTCAAATTATTTTTTTTAAAGTAATGTTTATATTTATAGTATAGGGATATTATATTTATGATCTAGTTGGAAATAACAAATTAAAATGTACACTTGACCATTTTATATTATACTACTGGTATTATACATACTTTGACACAAAAATTGATGGCTCTTTTCTGTATATCTCATTGTATGTACATTTTTCAAATGGTAATTTTATTTTTAGGATTTAAATATAACAAAAGAAACTGGATAAATCTAAAAATAAAAAAAAAAAAAAACGAAAAAAATAAGAACTTTGAATATCTATAAACAAATAAATATTACACACAGTATTAAACAGTCTGTTGCATTCACATTTCTAGGTGTGCACATTTTTTATCTAACCTTGCCCCCTGGGGTGTAATCTAAATATTTTGGGCTATGGGGTGATAACTAAATAAATTCAAGTGAAGTACTGTATCCCAAGGAGGCATCTGAGTAAAATACTGATATTAAAATATCCACTTGGTCATCTATTTACATATGTAATTTAGAGATTCATCCACATAATCTTTAATATTTTCATGTTATATATTGTTTTACTAAGTAAACTTGATACTTGCCTCCTTCCACTTTGAAGTGAACATGTATATTTTTAACGTGAATGATTATTCTTGTATTGACCTATTTTATTATTTTATTAAACTTAGCATGCTTTGACTTAACTGTATAAATATTGGTTATATTAATACAAGTTCATAAATATTACTTCAAGTCAAAGTCTTACAATAATAGTTATAAGATGACGCATAAAAGATTTATGTGAAATGCTGTGTAGCAATTGTATATGACAAATAAAATATTCTTCTGTAAAATTGAACATTGATTGTCAAGAAAGAGAAACGGATACCTGTGTCAATGTATAAGTGATATAACAATCATACCATTAAAAATACATTGTTTATATATGGTTTTATTTAGATTCTTCATATCTCCTTAAAAAATAAGGTTCTTTTTAGAATGGAAAAAGAAACGTTATCTTTAAAAAAATTGCATTGTAATTCATTGTTCTCAAAGTGGAACAATATAATTTAGGAAAACTTTTCAATACCTGTTGCATTTGTCTTGTGTCATATTCCATACACCAAATTTCAGTCAAGAATTTGGTAGTAAATTGTCAAAAAACTGTGTCTAGTTTTCTCTGGGCAATTATGAAACAATAAATGATTGAGATTATTGTACAATCACAATGTCAAAACATCCATTCCTTATGAAGTATTGGAAACAGCAAATCTAAAGTGTTTGAATGTGATGCAGTTCATACCATTTAATGTAATACCACACTAGTATTAGTAAAACAGGATGTTGCAATAATGCAGGTAAAAGTGTTATGGTACTCTATAGTATAGCAATACTATACGTTTTAATTCAATATTCTTAGTTTAGAGTCTGAAATGAGCACTGACATTTTTGAAATTTTACATGAACAGTATTTCAACTGATAGCAAAAATATAATTTCTATAATTATATCTTCAGTGATAAATTATTAGTGAGCAACAATGTACACATTTGCAATATAATACGTTCAGGGATCCATTATTGAGTAGTAGCAGAGGATAATGATTATAAAACAAAGAATTTCGTGGTATCTAAAGAGAGCGGAATGGGTAGGATTTGCGCGCATTTTTATAGTTAACAGAGTGCCAACCTGGTACCAACATAAAATTCTTCATTCAACCTATTGTCACAGTTAAATACAGTGACTTTCGACATATACAAGTAGGATTCGAGAGCTTCGTCAAGACTTAAATGTTTGTTAGTGTAACTCTCAATTGGAAAACAGTGTCACGCTCTCCTACCAGCCTCGTACTTTGGGAAGTCACTACATTTACATCGGGCAATGATCAATTGGAATGTTAGAATGCTCCAGGAATGCACTTCGAAATGAAAATGGATTTTATATCTTAAACTTCAAGTCAAAGCCCAGAGCAGAAGAACTATTTCATTTCAACTTCTTTTCACAACAATATTTATGTTGTTTTAAATCAACACCCACCCAATAGTTTGTTACTATTGTATTAAATAGAGTTATGAAATTACCTTGTGGTGTTCGTGATTTACCGGCGTCAGATATTGTTAGTCCAACTATTACGAGTTGCGTTTGGATATTACATACTATATAAATATATATTGCTATTTAAGGAGTTTTCTGGATTGTACATCGAAATGTGAGTACGTATTTCATAGTACTCGAACAACTGTTTAATTATCTGTGAGAAATGAAAGGAATAGCCATGACAAGTGGTTGGTCAAATTGATTCGTACGTTTAGTTAAAATTATAACAATCTTAAACTATTTTGTTAGTTAATTTAGTAGGTTTTTGCTAGTAAATGTGAACAGTGTTGTTTCTGAACAGGCCTTTAATACGATGAATTAACTGAAACGTCTACGAATAAATGCTTCTTCCTTATTTATGGTTAGGAATACGCCAAGCAATTCGTGTGATCATTTGTATTACATATTTAAATATTTTCATATTGTGCCATAACAGTAGGTTTTAATTGATTTTAACGAGAAAATAGTGGTTCATTTCGTACTTCAACTGCTATTGTTGTTGCTTGAGTGCGAGTAAATACGAAATAAAAGCCAAGGAAATTATTTTCTAACTAAGTTTATATGTAATCCTGATTCTGAACATTTTGTCTTAATTAATTTATTTACATTTTATGAATACACGTCTCGTGAAGTATAATATGAATGAACTATTAAATAAATAATAATAATAATAATAATAATAATAATAATAATAATAATAATAATAATAATAATAATAATTTTTATTGCTTATAAACTTACATAAAGCATCAAGCAAAGTCAGCCTAGAAATTAATTAAAATGACAATTTCATTAACTTTAAGTAATAATATAATATGATTACATTATCTTTCTAAATTACATGATAAATATATACCTAATTCATTAACATAGACAATTACATTAATTTAAGTTATAACAAATTACATTTGATTACAAAACTTACAGTAATAATGCAAATTGTTTACTCAATGAATTATATAAATAAGCAATTGCTCATAATAAACATTAAGTTAAATTACATTTTAAACTATACAAAGCCTCATTAACACATAACAAATAACATTTACAACAAACTTGTTCATTATGAATGTGGCAAATAGCTTACAATTGGAGTAAGTAATTCCCATATCTTACAGTAGCGGTTTAATAAACTTACAATAACTGCAATACATGAGGTGAACGATTAATGATAACAATTACATTAATTACAATATCTTGATTTAGAATTACATTATTTACTACATTACTGAATAGTACATTGCCTTATTGTACTGAATGAAGACCGGTACAAAGAGCGGTCACTCTTGTAGCAGTACATGTATTTTAATTACAGAAAGTTAAAGCAATTGAGATATCTTGTATGGACACACACTAATAAGATGATGTTTAAGCAGTGTTTTGAAGTATTTATCATCAGCAGTTTTTATTTTAATTGGGAGTTTATTAAAGAGCTGTGCTGCAGAAATGCAGAAAGGATCTTTGTTAGTTGAAGACTTGCTAATGTATATCCTGTGGTAGTCCCTATGTCCTCTAGTATGGTGGTTATGTATCTCTTTATTGCTCACAAAATATTGATTTTGATTATTTGTCAATAGTAATGATACTTTGTAAGAGTAGAGTGCTACAACAGTGAGTAATTCATATTTAATAAAGTAATCTTTACAGGACTGTCTGTGATTCAGTTTAAAAATGCTTCTTATACATTTCTTTGGAGGACCATTAATCTATCCATTTTTTTGTGTTGTGTCAAGAAAAGCTGAGGCAATTGTAGAATGTTTATATCAAGTGCTTTTTATCATTATTTTTTAACATTCTTTATGCAATAGAAGCTTCTGTTTAATTCAGTTCACATATCAATGCATGTAGAAAAGGAGTAGCATTTTTGGAATGACAGTAAAGGACAAGTTAGGGCTACTGAAGGAAACTCGGAAATAGATTATGAATGTAATATAAGTAACAAACTAGATTAATTTAACATATATTTGGTTTTTAGATTTCCATCAATAGTTTTTCTATTTTTTGCACTGCAGGATCATCATATCTCTTTTTAGGTCTTAAAATTTCTGGCAACCGTGATCGATGTTTTTAATAAAATTTGAGTTTTTGATTTTAACAAAATTGTTAAATATTTATTTCTACTATTACCATTTGTTTTTAAGAACTGTCAAAGTCTTACAAATGCATTTGAAATTGAAATGCTTGGATCACGTATATTTAGATCACCATTTAAATTACAATTGAAACATAAATTTGCCTGTTTTGAAATCACACCTGGGGTTTGATTACCACATCCAGCATATAGCTTGTGTAACTTTAAAGCAAGAATTTCGTAATTTTATTGAAAACAGTTCAGGACAAGAGATATGATTACAGAGAATTCTGAAGAAAAAAATATTCAGTATTCATAATTTTACAATAATTGATATTGAATTAATTATTTTTTGATTATTTATTGGAAAACTACATTTCAACTCAAGGGTAATAGAGAGGTATCAAATAATAAAATATTCTAACTTCTTCCTCTTTAACCAATTGGAAATCTCAATGTTAATGAGAATTTTTTTTTTTTTATTAAGCATACAGCAGATAATTTGGGGTTCAGCCAATCATTACACAAATTTTCATCAACAAATCTTCTCTAATCACTGTCTTATTTATTGTAGGAATTATTCAATTTTTTTATAACATTTTCTTTTTTCATATGGCCAAATTTTACTTTCTCACTAGGTTGTTTTTTAATTTTAATCTTCACCTGAATAAATGTTTAAGTATTCAAAGATTCTTGACCTGTTGTAATTATTCTAGTGGTTCTTGAGTTTGGGTCAATACAATAATATAACGTTTCATTGCTGATGTTTAAGCCATATATTTGGCCTTCATCAGGGCTAAAAAACAGATACAACATAGTATATATTCAAGAATATGTATAATGCTCATTTCATTGCAACTAAATGCAAATTTAGTTTAACATATATTGGTTACCTGTAGAGTCATCAATAAAGTATATTGTACATTCTATAAATTATAATAATTAATTCATTATATATTAATTATTTTATGATATAATTAATATATTGTAATAATTAATTATAAATTATAATAATTTGTAGACGTTTAGTAATTTGTGAACACAATAGACAAATGCAATGATGTAACATATGGTTGTGTTTTGGGTATAAAATTATATTTCGTCATGTGATTTTAATTTAAATATACAAGATTTCATGTAGCAACTGTCTCCTTTGGGGAAGGTTGCCTTCGCAGCGCCGGCACTTTTAAGGGGAGAGGCTGCGAAGGTCAAGTTCGCCAAAAGCGACAGTTGCGACAGCAGCTACAGGAAAAATTGCACGTTTAATTTTGAATCTCAGGTCAGAAAGTATAATTTTATGCACAAAATATTAACATGTTGCATCATTGCATTCCTCGTTTTATGTCCTGCCTATTGCTTGTGAGAAAAATATATAGTTCCATTTAAAGAGTTAAAGATGATTAAATTTATCAAAAACTAAAAATATTTCAAACAGTATCTCCTGACCATATCACTTGCCCTGTGATTCCGCATTGAGCGCGAAAACTGTATCGGGAACCGTTAAGAAGTTATGAGGGTGGCCATAGTTCGTGGGACATCTGTATAAACGTAGTAATATACGTAGTATAGGGAAAGTTATGTAATATTGAAAATCGATTTCGAGATTTCAACGGAAATACGTTTTGGTGACCTGATAAAGAAAAAGTGTTTGTTTTCAAAAGGTTTTTTCGCCCATCTGTCCGTCTGTGTTCACCACTAGCTCCTAAAACATACGTAGGATTTTTTCCAAAATGGATATTCTCCGGCCGATCTGCCTCGATTCCTGGCACTGCGATGTTCAAAATCTTTCTTAAATCTTGGGAGTACTTTACATGAAACATCCCGGATATTTTCAAAATTTTCTCAAAAACGGCTCCAAGTGTTTTTCTTTAAATTTGTGAAAATTGAAGAAAATGCACTTATAAAGGTGGCATAGGTCCAATTTTTTGAGTTAACTTTGAATTTTCGAAAAATCTGATAATTTTCGGTTGGGTTCTTACAACTACAAAATTGAAGATATTTTCCCTTCAAATACAATTTGTTCTCCATAGTGAGTTCTTTCATTAAGATCGTGTATTTTTTTGAAAATTTTAGTTGTTTTCGCGCAATATTGCATGCAATATGTGCAATTTTAAAAATTACAAAAACAAGGTTTTCTCTAAAGCTGCTCCATTTTTTTTAAACATGAGTTTGTGCTTCAAATGACTTCTAATGAAGATTTTCGGAAACAAAAGTTTCTGTGAAAAAGAGCTTCAAATTTTGAATTTACACCAGCGCTTAAACGCCATTTTCTTAAAAAACGGCTGGAAATTCTTCAATGAAAATTGCCATTTAGGACGAGGATTTTCTGTTCTTTAATATTCTTAAAATAATATTTCGGTTCTACTATTTTGAAATCGAAAAAAAAGTACGTTGGGAGGCAATAGATGGCAGCTAGCAAGTGTATGCGGCAAGTCCGAATAGCCTAGACCAAAATAGAAAAATAATACGAGAAAGTCTGCACCATGCTGTTGCACCTCTAGTTTACATACTGTTTCACGCTGTACAGAAGAAAGTAGGCCTATTGGAATGATGCGGGAAACAGGCGATTGTTTGCAGACAAAACTATATTATCGGGCGTTAATAACGAAAAATTGGATAAATCACGTTGTTCCAAGAAGTTTGCATGGTAAACACTACAGTAGTGGGAGCGTATAAGCCTCGCCACGTATGTCATGTGACTTGTTCTGAAGCAATCAGCTTGCGAGGTTTTGTTTATTTTCTTACAGCCAGGGTTCACCGTTGCCGTTCATTACACAAAATCACGTAGGCGATAAGATTCGGGTTTGGCGAAAGTTATGAACATGCTGTCAAGACGTGTCGTAGCATGCCAGTAAGAGTTAATGTTTTGAGATTTAATTTATTCACGATATAGGTGGTGCCATGTTCGTAGCAATTGTGTGGCAAATGCGCATTGAACTGTCGGATTCTCTTAAAAGTTGCCGGTACTGTAGATGCCACGAATGAAATGATTTTTGAGGATTGGCGTAAGGGGGTTTTTATTTTTAATATTACAGTAAACC